CCTTTTCGCTTCCTCGCATGTCTCCCTTCTGATTACCCAGTCCATCACAGCCGGAACAGTCCCGTTGTAGTCATTCCAGAAGTTTATTGAGGGAATGTAAGTGGTGCTATACCTGAAAGCAGCCTTTTCCATTACTACCAGGTAGCCGCACCTGCTGTAGTTCCAGATTTGAGAGGTGTTATAATCTTTATTGAAATAAGCCTCGACATAGCCTAGGTCTGGTGGGACATCCACCGAACAACAGCCAGCGCCAGAGCAAGAACCATTTGTTGGTTCATCCGAGCATGTGGATAAGCAACCTATGACATACTGCATAATTAAGTCACAGATGTTAATTAATTAGCTTAGTGTAAAAAATCAGCTTATCTTGTGATCTACGAATTGAGATTGAAATTATGTAACGATCTGGAAGCATAGTCACTTAACATAAGCAAAATAGATACAAGTATTTGTTAAAATTTCCAATTTTGACGTCAAAAAGGTTGAAAGCATAAACATAAATAAAGGAAATACTTACCGAAACACCTCTCATGTAGGCCATTGTATTGCACCCGATGACGAAAATCTTGTTATCCTCGTATGAGAATCGATAGGGCGTGTTGGTGAAGTTCTGCCCAACCATCGAATCATTCATCTGTTTTGTGACCGGGTCATAGCACTGCCAAGAGATTCCCATCTTCATCCAGGCTTTGGCGTCCGGCACAGAGATCTTAGTCACCTCGAACGGCCCAATGAATGTCCTATAAGTGCCGCTGTCGTTCTTGCAGTCGAGGCCGAAACCACCGTGGATCGCGCACTGATCGCCGATGCCAAACGGGAACGGGATGTCGAGGTTGCCGCACCTCGTCTGGCAGCCTCGGCGTCCTGCCGGGACGTCGGCCGCGGCTACCACCCAGATGGCTGAAATGCAGATCAAAAGAGCGGAGAGAAGAAGCTTAGCCATTTCGTTGTCTGTGTGGTTTGTACTGTACATGTTCTGAATTCTCTGGGCTGCGTGTTAAATAGAGACATACGCTGCCCCTTGCTAGCTATATCGACGTTGACGATTGAGAGTACCTGACCAATGCCGATAGACCGCGAGGTCGCTCACAATCACATCACATGGGACACCGCATTATCAGAACTATTCGTGGCCAGACGCCCAGACTCGGTCCCAGCCGAGCCCATTCGTGGACGTTGACGACGACGTGGTGTATTTACGCACATAAAGCAGGGTCGTTTCCGCTAATTTCCGTCGCTACGCACGTCCGTGAAAACGCGAACCGATCGATCAAGCGGGTAGCAAGACTTGCAGCATAGGAACAGGTGCATCGCGCATCATCGAAAGGACGGAGTTTCAGCTAGCTTGCCTAGTTGCCTCTCGGGCACTACGCTTCTCAGTAATTAGCCGATCAGCTCTACCGCTCAACAAATCTCCCTCGATTTGGCTTGGATTAACTCTTCGTTCCTAGGGACTAGGGAGACTTATAATACCAAGTCAATGCCGGTTGTTGAGATGAGAGCTAGCTAGCTTCCAAGAGGTCCCGTAGCCATCAGCTAGCTCAGGCCATCTCCGGTGTGCTAAAAAAAAATCGAACCATAGGACTAAAATGTCAACGAAATTGCTAGAAAACTTCAGCAAATACTTCCAAAACTTTCAGAGTTATAGCTATCGGATTGCCTCGAGATTTGTGCATAAAAAGAAAAATATTGCTAGAAACACTACTACACAAAGACATAGTTTTATAGGTGCCGGAAGTGTATACTACAAAATTTATATGTAAATACATACGTATGGTATATTAGACTACACACTAGAGGGACTAGAGGGGGTACGTCGCGCGGTACCTGGGGCATGCGCCCAGGCGCGCAATAACAAGCTCCTCGACAATACAGTTATTACAGATGGCAAGCGTGTGCTCTACATATGCCAAATGGGCCGCTAGGCCTGGGCCTGGGCCGAGATTAGTCGGGCTTACACGGCCTAACCTACACGTTGGGCTGCCCCGGACCTACCCACTTGTTGCACCATCGGCAAAGGTACGACCCAATAAGACTCGGGCCGTGCCGGGCCGGCCCAAAGGCACGAAAGCGCATCGTGCTTCTCCTTAGAAAAAAAGTCTATTTTGCCTCCTCCCCCATCTCTTTGGTCTGCCTCTTATATGGCCTTAATAAGTCTATTTTTTGCATCCCTCATCTTTTTGGGCTGTGACTTACATCGCGAGAATAAGTCTGTTTTGACTTCCTCATCTATTTAACTCTCTGATCGTTGAATTGGGCCATGCCGGGCCAACCCATCGAGCCGAGGCAAAGGGCCAAGCACAATCCAAAGGTTGGGCCAAGCCAAAACCCCGTCCCATGGGTCGGACCGTCGTGCCTCGGCCCTTTTGGCCAACTTGTGCTCCTATAGGAAAGGAATAAGTTCAACCTGGTCCCTTAACTTTACACTTAATCCGATTTTCAACCTTAAACCCAAAAACCAGATACAACTGGCCCTGAATTGTCAAAACAGGTGCAAACGAGATCCCTCGGTGGTTTGGAAAGCGCTTTTGGCTGACGTGGCACCTACGTGGTTAGTTTGACTAGATCTTTGTCCCACGTGGCAATTCGATCAGAAAAATAAAAAACTACGGGCCCACACGTCAGCTCCACACACAAAATAATTAAAGATAGTGGGGCCCACGTGGGCCCCACATGTCATCCTCACTCCTTTCTTCCCTCTTCCCTCTCTTTCTTCCTTATCCTCACGTTTCATCTCTTTTGGGGAGAGGCGGGCAACAACCTCGGCGAGCGAGGCTAGCGGCAGGTGGAGTGAACCGACAGCGGTGACACCCTCGCCGCCGCCTTCCTCTCCAACGGGTCGTCGTCCTCCGCGGCCTCCGTGGTGGTGACCGTGGCTTCTCACGCTGCTGGCCCAGGAGCTGCAGGAGTCGGAGCGCCCCGACCGCAGGCTCCGCCGACGAGGACGACAACTCCAGTGCCATCGCCGCCGCGCGCGCCAAGAACGCGCCGCCCTCCATCGCCGCCACGCTCGAGACGGAGATGGAGTTCGACGGCGGCGACGGTGGTATTAAGGGCACGGATGCGACTGACGCAGCCTGACAGCTTCTTGCGCTTCCCGTTGCCAGCGCGAGCAGGTGCGCGCGGAGACGTCAGTGAGTAGCAGCGGTGGCATCGGCGGAAGCGTCGGTCCAATCCGACGCAAGGGTGTCGATGAGGGAGGCGAGGCCGGGGCTGAGATCGTTAGGGGAGGCGGAGGTCGCAGAAGCCGTCGGAGCAATGTAGAGAAGGGGGAGCCCTGTCGCGGGCGTGCCAGCGGGCCACGCTAAGGGAGCCGGAGGTGGACATGGCTGCAGGTGGCGATGGAATTGGTGAAGACCTGGGCTGCGTGATGAAGTTGGCGGTGGTGTGCTCGTCCTCTAGATCGGGCGGCGAAATCAACAGCCGGCGAGGGGCTGCCAGATCCGCCCGCGACGGATTGAGGTCAAGGTCGGGGGTTCTTGGGCAGTAGTGACTCGGCACTGGCGGCGAGCCGTCTCACAAATGAGAAGATGGGGAGGAGATAGAGAAAGGAGGGGATTAGGTGGGGAAATGGGACCCACTGTCATGTGGTCCCACTATTATTTAATCTTATTATTTGACCGACATGAGGTCCAACATTTTTTTATTTTTTAAATTGTTAAATTTTGCTTTATATGCCACGTCAGATGAAAACCGAGTCAAATTAGCCACGCAAGGGCCACGTCAGCTGAAACTGCCATCCAAATCGTCTTGGGTCTTATTTTGTGCTGGTTTTGACAGTTGAGAGACCCGTTGTATCTGGTTTTCCGGTTGAAGAATGAAAATCAGATTCGTTGACAAGTTAAGGGACCTCATATGAACTTATTCCCATAGAAAATTAGTCTACGGAAAAAGTATACTTTGACTCCCTTAACTATCGCTCGAGTATGATTCATGACCTCCAACCACAAAACCGGGTATATTGACTCCGCCAATTATCAAAACCGGTGCAAACAATGTCCCACGGTGGTTTTAGAGGTGGTTTTTGCTGACGTGACGCCCACATGGCAGTCTTGACCGAGTTTTTGTCCTACGTGGTGCTTACGTGGTATTAGAATAAAAACAAAATCAAAAAAATATGTGGGAGCCATATATCATTCACACAAAAGAAAAGTATTGTGGGACCCACATGTCATCCTCCCTCTCCTTTCCTTCTTCCTCCCCTCTCTCTCCCTTATCTCTCTCTCTCTCCCCCGGCCTTTCTCTTGGCTGGAGCGGCGGTGGCGGCGGTTGGAAGCGGCGGTGGCGGTGGGGGCATCGGAAGAGCTTAACGGATTCTTGCGGGATGTTGGCCTTGCCGTAGGCGGCGATAAGGGTGGCGACGGTGGCCTCCTCGGGGGCAATGGAGAAGGAGGGCATGGTGTCGAGGAGGAGGCAGCGGGCGTGGTTGAGCATGCGGTGGGAGGCGACGATCGGGATGAGGAGGGCGAAGGTGGACGGCTCGGGGTTGAAGCCGGCGCGGCGGTAGGCGAAGCGGAAGAACTAGAAGACGAGGTCGACGCGGCCAGCGGCGGCGGCCCCAGAGATGACGCGCGTGGACGAGCGTCGGGGAGAGCAGGCGGATGGAGTTCTCGAGGCGGCGAGCCTCATCCCCACCGCCACCGCGACCGCCGCCGCCGCCGCTTCCCACCGCCACCGCTCCCCTCCGCCTCGTTCCCATCGGCCATCGCCACCGCCGTCGCTCTTGAGGGAGAGAGAGATAAGGGAGGGAGAGAGAGATAAGGGAGAGAGAGGGAGGATGACATGTGGGTCCCACTTTTTGTGTGTGTGTGTGAATGACATATGGGTCCCACATATTTTTTTATTTTTATTTTTATTTTGATGCCACGTAAGCGCCACGTAGGATAAAGACTCAGTCAAGACTGCCACGTGGGCGCTACGTCAGCCAAAACCATCTCCAAAACCACCAAGAGACATTGTTTGCACCGGTTTTGATACTTGGAAGAGTCGATATACCTAGTTTTGTGGTTGGAGGTTGTGAATCATACTCGGACGATAGTTAAGGGAGTCCAAGTATACTTTTTCCTTACCTAGCGTCTCGATTCCAGCCCAACTAGCGCCACTCCCACCTGGGCCACCACCCACATCACTCGTCGCCGTTCCTAAACCCAAGAGAACTCCTCCCCTCACGCCAATGCCGGCCTCGTCCGCGCCGCCGCCGGGAGAGAGAGTGACCGAGGCGGCGGCAGGAGCAGCCCGTGCGAGAGAGTGAGAGGGAGGAAGGGACCATGCGAGGAGGCAGTAAAGCGCGGGCGCACGCAGCGCCGCCACTTCAAGCAGGGGCGCGAGGTCCTCTGGAAGCACAATCCCCCAGCGCCCTCCAGCCGCTTTTGCTTCCAATTTCCCTACCAAAGCACGGTAATCCTGCAATTGTATCTCCTTGAATCCCCTATTCTGCTTGACACACGCTAAACGTTTGGCTGCGTGTCGGATCCATGCACAATCTGTGGGGTCGTTTTTGAAAAACATCCCTACAAACGGTGGCAGATCTTTAAATTTTTTTGAAGCCTAGACAAGATTAATATTATCGCTGATAATTTAGATTTTAAAGCTAGTGTCATCTTGAACATCGGTGCTAGTAGGTTGTATTGCTTTGGCCTTTATAACTACAGCTTGATGGTTTGGTCCTTGCTATCTCGTTTTCTGATAATCTGATTATTCATCTAATTAATCTTCATTAGAACTTACGAGACAAAGTGATTATGTTTGTTTCAGCTTAAGATTATTATAATCTAGATTATAGAACTAGATTACTATAAGCTGAATTATAATAAGCCGACATAGAATAAGCTGCTAGCTGTTTGTTTCTCTAAATTATTATCTGTTTGTTAGTTGTTTGCCACCCAATAATCTAAGAAAAGCACCTTTAGAGTGGCTCACCAGATTATAGTAATCTGGCTTATAGATTATAATAATACTCCCTCCGTTTCACAATGTAAGTCATTCTATCATTTTCCAAATTCATATTGATATTAATGAATCTAGACATATATATCTATATAGATTCATTAACATCAATATGAATGTGGGAAATGCTAGAATGACTTACACTGTGAAACGGAGGAAGTATATCATAATAAGCTATCTATTTGTTTCAGCTTACTCCTAATAATCCAGATTAAAATAATCCTAAGCTGAATTAAACATGGCCTAAGTATATGGTTAACGAGTAATACGCTGCATATGCATTGGAGCAGTGTGTTGCTGTACGCATGGTGCCCAGGCAATTGCGCGTGATGGCCGGGCGCCGGCGCCGCCGCTGCCTACAAATTTTAACTTTCATGTACAAATTCAAAAAATTATAGAAATGACTCCATTTAAATACAAACTAGTAGTAACCGATTTTAAAGGGTTAAATTTCTAGCTCCGCCACTAGCTGCGTCATCATGGTTGGCGGTGGTGGTGGCGGCCATTCATGCATTTAGGCTTCAGCTATTTGCCTTCACGACATCGTGTATAGAAGTAGCGCACCTGGGCACGTTCAATACTCAGCATATCCTACTCTGTTTTAGGCTGTGTTCAGGAGTAGGGGTTTCCTAGCACGCAAAATAAAATTCGTATTATTGCATGATTAATTAAGTGCTAACTAACTATTTTTTTTAAAAAAATAGATTAATATGATTTTTTAAAACATCTTTCATATAGAAAATTTTTTATAAATCACACCGTTTAGCAGTTTGAAAAATATACATGCGGAAAACGAGAGATGTGGGTTGAAAAAACAGGGAGAAGAACACAGCCTGAGGGGACTAACGAATTGTTGACACATTGTACATTTCAATGCTCTTGCCTGAGGGGAGCAGTACGGCAAAAAAAATGTACTACCTGCATGGCTGCATCTAAATATAGTTAAGTGCGGATGTGAGTTTTCTTATTTAACATTTGACATACGTCTTATTTAAAAAAAATTATAAAAAAATAGTCACACATAAAGTATTATTCATGTTTTATCATCTAATAACAATAAAAATACTAATCACAATTTTTTTAAATAAGAATAACAGTCAAATATTAAATACGGAAACTTACAACTGTATTTATATCGGGACGGTGTGTTACGTTCCAACATCAATTTTGACAGATCAAGCCAACCTCAAGTAAGCACCTCAAGTAAGCACAAGCAAAACCAGCATCAAACCACTGAAATATTCATATACAAAACAGAGAGAAAGAAGAGTTTAGACAAGGAATAGCAGGAGATTGGGTTGGTAGAAAGGAGATCAGGAAATCAGAGGAAATAGAGTAGGATTTGGGAAGAAGCAAGAGGGAGGGAACAGCCAGGCAATAGGCTTCAGTTCTTATATTCTTTGATCCCCTTCCCATTGTGCCTGGTTCCTTTTTGTAGTAATTACTTGATGTAGCATATTGGGCCTAACAGGCCACAATCCACCATGGATGTCTAGCCCAACGCGAGTCCGTGACACGGAGAGAGTACCAGATTTGATCTTGAAATCCTTTTTGTTCTGTAGTGGTAGAAATTAAAGAGGAATTTGAAGGTTGCTTCATTCGCGTGCATGGCTGCCCAAACAACCCGTCTTGTCACTCAGGAGGAAAAACAACCATAGAAGCATCCGTTTCTCTTTCTTTGGAATGCTATTATCCCTCCGTCCCACGAAAAAGATCTAGGACTGGATGTGATATATCATAGTACTACGAATCTATTACATCCAGTATTAGGTTGATTTTTATGAGACGGACGGAGTATGTGGCAAGTAAGCAGTTAAAAAAGAGCAAGAAGTTGGCACAACAATTACCGACTGGATAAACTTGTAAAAGATATGTAGGCATGGTTATAAATAATTTAACTCTGAAATTCTAAGCACAGACTATGTTATTCCACCCTTCACATTTTCTGGCCGTTTTCAGTTCAGAACTTCAGATACTAGACCAAAACAACCAATACAATTATATAAACTATACAATCTACAATTCATTCTACCAATGCAAATACTTACCTAGTAGTCTTCGGTCAGATTCCTGCGTTTTGGGGATTTTTCAATTTTTTTTGACCCCTCCAGTGTTCGCCACGTGTTAAACTGTTTTGCTTCCAAGAACAAGATATTCGTTTATGATCAATGCATTAATAACTATAATAGACTAGAGAAAAATGTGCATACATACATAGACAAATCATTGTTAGGCTTCTTATCTTGTTAATTTCCTTTTATTATTGATCCTCTTTTCCGTTCAAAGGTATAACTTAGAATTATTTAAGTTTCTTTCCTTCCTTGTGGTGAGTTTTCTATCTACCTCATGAGCCAATGATTTCTGAAATTGCGATGTTGCCTATCCAATTAAAGATATAGTGATATCTATAAATGTCCCCAAGGTGTTATCAAAGCGTTTAAAAAACCATAGCCTATAGTTCTTTAGAAAAATGATAGGATGCATTATTTAATTGTTTTGTTAATACACAAAGAATCAATGAGAAATTAGTTGTTCATCAATAGGAGAAGCATATTATCTAAAAGAAATAAATATAGAAAAGCCATAATTCATCTTTGTAGCTAGAGAGAGCGGTTAATTATTGATAAGACTAAAAGTTCTTTTATTAGAGAAACTTCACCAATTTTTTTTCATACAACAAATAATTTTGCACACATTCTATTCACTCTTATACTCATGTAAAGAATTACTCATTTGTTCCAACACAAATATGCAATCCCTTCTATTACCTTTGGCAAGAATTTCTTAAATTTGACACTCTATTGTATAACTTTCCTTTTCATCTACAAGAGAGATGAATGATCTGTCTTAAAGTTAATACATGTTTTGAATCCCAATCTACCAAGAGTAGTGATACCAGGAGGATATTCTAACAGATACAATTACCTTGCCTTCACAAGATCTCAACTTTACACAAATAATTGACATAGATGAGTAAGAGTTCCTTGGCTCTACAAGGAATCTATGATAAATCACAATAGGATTGGACATAAGCTATACCAGAGAGAGTACTGCTTAACGCCCTGATTCCAAACCCTTGACAACTTTCCTTTCAATGCTAAAATTTCCTGTACTCTCAACCTCTGAGATGACCACACATGATGACTCACCAAGCAAGCTCTCCAATTCTTCTGGGTTATCGTGTGTCCATGGATGCTCGATGACTTTCCTCAGCCTATCAAGCTTATCTCTTACTTCCTTCATTGATGGCCTATCTACACCGGACATCTCCAAGCATTGTCTTGCTAACTCGGCAATCTCTTCAAGAAACCCCATATTCTCATTATTCTTGATTTGATCATCCAATAGATCACTGAGCTTATTCTCCTTCATTGCAGAGAGAAACCTCATAGACAGGCATTTCTCATTTTCAAGCGCATCAAGATTGAACGGCTTCTTGCGTGTAAGAAGTTCTAGAAGAACAACTCCAAAGCTATATACATCACTCTTATCTGTTAATTGGCACGTTTGCATGTACTCTGGGTCAAGGTATCCACAAGTTCCTTGAACTAGTGTGACAAATTGCGTCTCATCTGTTGGAGCTAGGATAGATGCACCAAAATCTGAAACTTTTGCTGAGAGGTTGCTATCAAGGAGGATGTTCGACGACTTGACGTCACCATGGAGGATTGGTGGGGAAGCACAAGAGTGGAGGTAGGCAAGTGCCTCAGCAGACTCATGGGCAATCCGTAGGCGAGTAACCAGAGGGATGTGCCAACCATTATAGTTTCCATGGATGAGATGGTAAAGTGTGTCATTTGGGATGAATTCATAGACCAATATAGGGACCTCCACTTCAAGGCAACAACCTAATAGTTTAACAATGTTTTTGTGGTTGATTTGGGATAAAATTAGCATTTCTTTGCCAAACTCTTTTTTCTTTTGCTCATCAATTGTCATGCATCTTTTTACTGCTACTTCCAAGTTGTCCTTAAGATGTCCCTTGTAAACAATTCCATTGCCTCCTTGGCCTAGAACTTGATGTTCATCAAATTTGTTTGTCGCCTGTTGCAATTCTTCTTCCGAGAAGATTTTGAATGCAAGACCTTGTTTAGATTTCATCTCTTCATATAGTAGCAGGCCACCATGCCGTCGAAAGTATTGATTTTTGATGTGCTGTAGCTTTCTTCTATCATGAATTAAGCATGCACAAGTTATGGTGATCACTAGGATGACAAGTCCAACACTTGTGCCTACACAATCATAAAAGCTTGTGTGAATGACTAGTAAGGCCAGTCCCAACCCAATGACTAGAATGGTGTCTATAGCATTAAATAAGCTACCACCTAGGATGAAAGATGATGTGGCAAGTGAATAAATGAGGAAAGAAAAGGAAACCAGGTCTTGCATGAGACATGCATGGTTTTTACACAACATCCAAGACATCATATGAGATAAGTAGCATTAAATCTAAGTATGAAACAATGGTGTTTGCATTGAAAGAGCAGTGTCTTGTACTAGTTTTTTTTATGATGTGGAGTTTATGGAAACTATGTCTAGTGTGTTGGGTTGGGATTGGCCTAAGATATGGAATTATGGAAGATCCATGAGCTAGCCATGTGTAATGACTAGTAAGGCATGCAAAATTTATATATTAACAATTCTCATATTGGTGTGCACAAATGGTTGGCGTTATCATTAGTTCTAGTGATTACGGAAGAGGGGAACCAACCTACTATAGGAAGTGCAAGAAAACCGGACTTCCGATTTGGTATGCAAGTGCCATTCTCCATATAGTTTCCTTGGTGGCATGAGCAAGTGAAACTCCCCATTGTATTATTGCATATCCCCGGACAAGGATAAGTAACATTGTCGAGGCACTCATTGATATCTGAAATCAAGCAACCATTGCAAGTTTGATTGAAATTGTCATATCAAGGAAGAAGAATAACGAAAAAGTAACTATGGTACCTTCACAACCATCTTTAATATACGGGTTTCCTTCATATCCATGTGAACAATTACAACGGTAACCTCCACTCGGATCATCATTGCAGATGCTGTTTGTACTAACACAAGCGTAGGAAGTGGTTTTGCTTTTAGCCTTCTCACATGTATCCAATGTTATGACCCAGTCCAACACAACTGGAACTCCCTCTTTGTACGTGTCGTTGAATACCGTGGAGTTGAGGTAAGTGGTGCTAAATTGGAAGGCCTTATCCTCCATCACCGCCATGTAGCTGCAAGGGCTGCTCCTCCATATTTTGCTATCATTGTAATCTTCGTCAAAATAACCATCATAACTATATATGTGTCCTGGAACATCCATCTGGCAACAGCCACCGCCGGAGCAAGATCCATTCACAGGTGTTGAACCATTACATGTCGAGAAGCAACCAATTACGTACTGTGGAATTTGCATATGTATTATTAGACCAAGAAGTAGTGAACTCTGCCACTGTTTTCTTTATTAAAAAAAGAATAAACACTTATATGGTAGTGTGTATCTGTTTTTTTTTCTTGTTGTGAAAACATACTACTTTGACGATCTTTTTTTGGAGGGAGCAATATTGACAATCTTGATGGTTGAATGCGCATTGGCAACCTCACTAGTTGCACATAGTGACTCATATCACTACTATAGAGTCGGTCATCTATGCACGGAAATGGTTTGTTTGGTCCCTTGACGTGCAGGTGACTTGAGGCGACGTTTGGTCAATGGACAAGACTAAATTAAGCTAGAGAAGCATATTTTATTTATTATAAAAGCAGCATGCTTTTTTTTAATATTAAAAAATGGCAATGAAATCATTATGGTGGGTCTAGTTAGGTTTTGGAGGGGGGTTGATCTTCTTCCTCCCCTTCTCTCCTCCCCATAGGGATCCAACAGGGTGGGAAATTGGGGCGGGGGGGGGGGGGGGCTTAATCCACATTAGATTTGCCCCGGGCAGCGAGACACATGTGGTATGCACCGCCACGGACACAAACACAACGTCCCCTGAATTAGCTGGGGAACATGCGCAGAAGAAAAAAAATACTAGATGGCTACACCTTCTAGGATTTGAGCAAGAATACCTTACTATGATTTTTACCGGAATTGATAATTAAATTAAAAATGTTCGACAATTTTTCAACCAAAACCTTCAGATTTATGATTGTCAGATCACCTTGATATTCATGCGGAGAGGGGAAAAAAAATCTGTGCAATACGTACAAGTTGAACATGCAACATGTGAGGTGGATGTCGTGCTGCTAGCCAACCGGTTGCATGAACGTTTTATTCAACTACATATAAGTTACACTATAATCATATTATAATTACAATATAATCTCAAATTATACTACATTATATTTAAAAGTCTTTTATTAAAAAAACTGTAGTGTATACTGTACAGTAGCTCCTAATTTTTATTGGACCATAACTAATATTTATACTGATGTATATTATGGGGCAGGGTCCCTAAATTATTTTTTTTAGGCTTAAGGCTGCCTCTCCGCTTGCGCCCTGTAGCGCCCGTTCCGTCGTGGCGCCTAGCGGGAAAACTATCTCTTAAAAATCCTATTTGCGAAATCCGTTTCTTTGCTTGTTGTCTAGTGTCCGTGCCATCTCAGATCTCAAATCCCCGATCTATCGTCAAGTTCAATCCCGAATCCAAATCCTTCCCAAATCAAATTCCTCCGCAAAAGTCTATTTTGCCTCCCTCGGGTTCGATGGGCCGAATCCCTCTAGGCCCATCTCCCCCTCCCTCCCCGGCTCTCTCTCTCTCTCTCTCTGCCCGCTCTGCCGTGAGCCGCGCCGAGCCCTCCCTCCCGCTCTCGCTGCCGTTCCCGCCGATGCCGCCCAAATCGCCGCGCCGCCCGCGCGCGCGCGCGCCTTGGTGGCCGACCGGCCAGTCGCCGCCGCCGTCAGCGCCTGCCGCGCCTGCCCCGCGTCTGCCGCCCGTGTCGCCGCTCCACTCCAAACCGCCCCGCCGTCATCGCCGTCGTCATCGACTCGGCCCCGCCTCTCCCCGCGCGTGCCTCCAAGGGACGGAGGCAGAGCTCCCCCCCTCTGCCGCGTCGCCCCCTCTCCCTCCTCCTTTTTCCCAAAGTGGCAAGGAGGCAAGGGTTCTCTCCCCCTTTTTCCCTTTTCCCTCCCGCCGGCGTCATCCTTCCCCCCCCCCCCCCCCCCCGTCGCCGCTTTGGCCGCGACCGCCAAGCGCGAGCTCCCTCCCTTGACCGCCCAAGGTCGGTTTCCAAACCGACATCGCCGCCCTATAAACAAAAGCGCCTCCCTTCCTCTTTCCCCTCCCAATCTTCCCCGTTTCTCGCCCGCGCCATTGCTGTCTCTCCCGCCGGCCGCCGCCGTCGCGTGTGCTGGAGGAGCCGGTGCGCGTTAGGACGAGGAAGGGGACTCCGGGCGCTCGTCTTCTTCCTCTCCCCCGGCCCGAGGCCGGAGAGATCGCTCCCGTGCCGTCGGCCCATCGTCACTGCGCCCCGTCCGCACGGTAGTGAATCTCCCCGTTCTCCCTCCTCAATCCATCTCTTCCCCTTAGTTTTCGGTAGTAGCATGTGTAGCCTCCCCGTAGCTAGCCGGCGCCGCCCCGACTGCTGCCGTCGCTCGCCGTGTGCTCACCGCCCGAGCTCAGAAGCGCCACTCGTCGCCGGCCTCCCTCGATGCGATTCCTCCTAATCCGGCGCAAGGGGTGGGTTCCCGTAGCCGCGTAGATGCTCTCGCCGCCGGGAATCGGCCCCTCGTGACCTCATCGCCGTTTCCCCCTTCTCCCGCCGCCGGTTGCCGCCGCCGCAATCCGCCGCCGTCGAGCATCCCCCGGCGAATCCGAGCCATTGGCTCGTCTCCCCTCGTCCTGTGCAACATCCCGGTGTGCTCGCCTTCGCCTGTATCGCCATGGTTCGCTCCGCCGCTCGCCGCTGTCGTCCGCCGTCCGTTCCGGCCGGCGTCGTCGTCTACCTCCCGCCGGCTCGCGTGGCAGCCACGTAGGCGCCACGTCGGCGCCACCTCGGCCGCGACCGGGTCAAGCAGACCCCGGTCCGCCGCTTCCCTCCGCCCCTCGCGCGCGCGGTCCACCGCGAGCCGTGAGGCTGCGCGTGGGCCCGTCGCACCACGTCCTCCGCGAAACGCGCGCATGCGCCGCGCCTCCCTCCCCAAACCCTAGCACGCCCCGCGTGCACCTCGCTCACGGTGAGCCGAGTCGCTGACAAGCGGGTCCCACCCGGGACCACGCGGGATGGACCCGGCCCACCGGCTCTCTCTCTCCCCTCCCCGCCCGCGCGCGCGCCTTGGGCCGCCTTCTTGGGCCGGCCGGCCCATTAAGCTCGGCCGAGCCGCCCCTTTCTCTCGGGCCGCGCCCTAGCCGCCCGAGGGAAGTCTAATTTCCCTCCCTCCTTCTTTTCTTTTTCAAAAAGGATTTAAATAAATCCTTTTCCTTTAGACCAAAAATCCAATAATCTTAGAAATTCAATATCTTCCCAACCGTAAGTCCGTTTGACTCCGTTCAACTTCCAAAATTCCTCAAATCTCGAGATCTATCGAATGGCACGCTTAGAGGTCAATAATAGGGCTTTATTTTTGCCGTTTGCTGAGCTGTCCCGTTTCGCGTGTAGTTTCGGAGCCCGAAGACCCGCAGTGCGAGGATTTCGAGGATCAAGCTCAAGATCTCGAGCGAGGCAAGCCACCTTTGAACATCTTGAGCCTATATTTGAACTTAATTATGTTGCTTGAAAAATATTATGCATTGATAGGATCGCACTTAATCTGCTTGTCCCGTCTGCAAGGCAGATTGGCGGACCTACCTAATTTGTTGCATTTGACCATTCCATTGTAATTGTTATACCATGTTCCCTTGTACCCACCTAGTTGCGCCTCGGTAATCGTGCACTCTGCACGGGTATCGACGGTCGCCTTCAAACTTAAAATCTGAGAAACATCTTGGGTAAAACTTGCGTTTTACAAAAGACTTGGAAAATCCGACACCTGGGTCGGTGCTTGCGAACTAAATGAATTTCCAAAACCGCGGACCGGGGAACGTACCGGGTGTACGGTTTCCCGCTCTTGCACCTAAGGACTGTTTCCTTGGAATTTCATCCGAACATAAGACAAGTACGACCACATGGGTGGAATGGGACACCCCTGGCTGAGTAACTAGCTTATCGGGAGAGCCATGATGCTAAGAGACATGTGGATTCGCCGGGGTGGTGTCGGGGAGGACCCCTGGGCTTCCTGGCACAATATGGTCTGGGACCTAATCTGGTGTTGGTCTGGGACCCTTCTCGTTGGCATATGGTGAACCTGTGTCGGCTTTCGAAATGCCTTGTCATGAAAGCCTTAAGGTCTCTAGTCGTGGCCGTTCTGCACGGGCTGGATGATCCGGGTTAGTAATGTCGTGTGGGTAAAGTGTACCCCCTCTGCAGAGGTTATTAAAACTGTTCGAACAGCCGTGCCCACGGTCATGGGCGGATGTGAGGTGATTCCTAGCGTAGTTTTGTTTGACTACTGCCTTATGAAATTTGCTGTTGTGGGATGGGTTTGATGTTTGGAAAATCTGCGGCTGATGGGATCAGCCAGGCCCGGGTGGCCGTTTGAAAGCTGTTGGCCGGGTGCCAATCTTGATCAATTCAAAAGACTGATACATTGCACATACTCCGACCGGACGAGACGCACTGTCTCATCCGTGTCGTTTGAGAAGCACTCACTTAGTTGTTTCAGAAAAGAGTTCAAATAAAATCAATTGCAAAAACAACAGCCTTTCTTTGAAGCCTACATTAAACACTTATTTCCCATGGCTTGCTGAGTACTCCCGTACTCACCCTTGCTCTATATAAATAATCCCCCCTAGTTGCTGAAGAAGATGAAGCGGATCCCGCTGACGAGGAGTTCTTCCAGGAGCAAGCCGGCTACGATGAGTTTTAGGGTTTCGGCCTAGTTTCCAAGTCGCGCCTGTGATGTTTGGTCCAAGTCTTGGCTTCCGCTTCCCTTTTGTAATGCAGTTGTGAGCTCGGGATCTGTCCGCAGCCCAACATGACTATACTCCTACTCTATAATAAAGAGACCTCTGTTGCTGTGATATTCTGTCTTCCTGTGATACCAGCACTGTTTCCTGGGACTGGTATCGATTAACAGGTTAATTTGGAGCGTCACGGGCTAGTTCCGGTCGGGACTAGTTCGGGGCGTGACACGCCCTTACCCCCTACCCTGGCTGGGTCGCACCTTGGATGAGAAAAAAGGAGCATTTGTATAGGCTGGTTTACTTTCAGACTACATTTCTTGAGAAGTGTTCAAGCTTGTACTAAGTATGAGATCTTGTTAACTTTTCTTTGAAATGTTGTGCATGGAAAGGTGTGAGTTGTACGTGTTGAGTTAATTTGCTTCTTTATTTGTAAATTATGTGTTCTATTGTCTTTGTGATATGGTTTTTCTTTTGATTTATATGCTGAGTTTTTGTGGTGAGAAGAAGGATGAATAGATGAAGCTTTATGCTCCTTTTGAATCCATCTCCCTCTTGAGCGCAAAAGATGTTCTTGTTGATTTGCCAGTTTTTCTTTTCTTCATGGAAATATTTGGAGGGCCTTGGTCAGTGACTTCTACAAAGTATGGGATTTTGCTTATGGAGAAACAACACAGCATTAACGGAAGGAATCCAATATACCATCATTAATTTGGAAGCTGACGGGCACTGGATCAATAGCACAGTGCGCAGTTAGCTTTTTTTTTTTTTTGAGAATTAGCAGTTAGCATATCAAGCGCAATTTGCTAGCCAAATACAATCAGCTGGGGCAAGGCAAATCTGGGAACCCTCCAAATGCAAGTTATTCTCTTGGTTACTCCTTCTGAACAGAATTTAGACCTCTGATAGACTACAAATCAGAGGGTGGCTAGCTGAATAACTATTTCTACCAATTGTGTTTTAGAAGCCTTGAGACAACACATTTTCGAGGATTGTCAGATGTTCAAATCCATATGGGAGGCCATTACGCGAATTAAGGACTAGTTAAAATTGGGTGGCAGCATATTACAGTCCACTTGATTGCTAGGTTGGTGGAACAAAAACGCAACACAACATGACAAACACAAATCAAAGGGGATGAGATTCCCTATTACTTTGGGTGGCGTGGGTGGCGTGGATAGCATAGTGTGAGCGGAAATACGGAATAGACGAGTCTTAAAAAGTAAAGAGATGATCAAAACGTGTAGATAGTGACAAGAATCTTGGGAGAAACCGGTTTTTGGCAAAATCATATCGGATCACTGCTGCCCATCCAAAAACTTCCCTCCTATATATACTTCTTCTATCTCATAAGTACTCCCTCCATTTTATATTATAAGTCGTTTGACTTTTTCTAAAGTTAAAGTTATTTAGATTTGATCAAGTTTTTTAAAAAAATTAGCAACATTTATAACATATAACACCAAATTAGTTTCATTAAATTTAACATTGAATATATTTTGATAATATTTTTGTTTTGTATTAAAAATGTTAAAATATTTTTCTATAAATTTGGTTAAATTTAAAGTAGTTTGACTAAGAAAAAAAATTAAACGGCTTATAATATAAAACGGATAGAGTATGTACATTTTGCATGTGGCTGGGAGAAAAAAAAAGAATACACTTGCCAAGTGAAATTCTAGATAAACGACGGTATTGGCCTTGCGACAGTTTTCGGGAATTCTTTTCCCCCCTAGTCCCCGGCCGATTCCCTGTTTGTATACTTAACATGGTGTGCTTATTAAAATGCCTCTAAATGATAAGCTTAAGAGATATATATACTTACAGCGTTGCTCTCCATATAAGCCATAGTTTGACATCCGATGACGATGATCTTGTTTTCGGTCGATAGCCAGAAAGGTGAATCACCGAATTCTGCCGTTGCGTTGCTGTCGTACAGGATATGGCCTGTCACGTGGTCATAACACTGACTGGATATGCCCAACTTCATCCATGCCTTGCCCTCCTGCACCGAAATCTTGGTAACCTCGTTATTGTTGTAGAAAGGCTTCTTGGTGCCATTCACGTCCAAGCAGTCGAGATCAAACGGATACTTCGTCTGCATCGCGCAGTGCTTGCCGATGCCGAACGGGAACGGGATCTCGACGTCGCCACACCTCTCCGGGCAACCGGGGCGTTGCCCTGCCGGTATATCGGCCGTTGCTGCCGCCACCCAGACAGCCGACAGACAGACACAAAAAAGGCTGGCAAGAACTGCCCGTGTATACTGCAACTTCATCTTTGTTGGTTGTGCCCGTTGTTTGCGAGGTCAGCGCTCCAGCTAGCCTATATATATAGAGAATATATAGAGAGATAGCCTACAGTGGAGTTCTCAAAAAAAAAAAAGAGAGAGATATTCTACAGCGCAGGTATCGCGTATAGTACGTAATTTTGTTGACGTGGGCGGCTGAATACCGTAAAGTTTTCTCTATTTTTTTTAGGGAGGGGGATGTGTGTACGATGAAGAAGCATTATTATTATTTTATACAGTAAATGCAACTAGCAGAAATAGTAGTAGTAATCAAATACAGTACATATTCACACATACTTGTATGCAGGACTTCTTTTTAATTTAAAGCAAGTTGCAAGAGCATTGCAGTACTCCATAACCGTCCCTTACCTTGGCTAACGAACACAGGCACACACGGACACACCCTTAGAAATAGGAGGAGCTAGCACTAGAGGAGGAGGTGAACGCCGTCACCGACGAATGTTTCATGTGAGCAATTAGATTAGCCTGATCCCTTCGTTGTCATCATCTGCACCCTTGATGAGTTGTGCAGCCAGATCTAGGTGAAGAGCCCGAAATAGGGAGAAGACTTTTTGTGTGCATAGGGTATGTTCCTGTCTAAATGAGACTTTAAATTTTATTACGTACTCCCTATGCTTCATATTATAAGTCGTTAATTTTTTTTTCTTATTTAAACTTTTTTAAGTTTAATCAAGTTTATAAAAAATATATTAACATTTTAATACATAACAAACATATTATCAAAATATATTCAATGTTAAATCTAACGAAACTAATTTGATATCGTAGATATTATTATTTTTTTATACAAATTTAGTCAAACCTAGAGAGTTTTGACTTAAACCCGTATGGGCATATATACCATGTTATACTTGCATGTGTAAGGTCAACGTTTAAACGATATACTTAAAAAAGTGAAAGGAAAAAAAAAAGAGAGAGAGAAAACAAACAGTAATAAGGTTGACGGCACCTTCTGTTTGTTTTTTACTTTCTTTTTCTATTTTTTAATATGGTATCTGTAAGGGTATAATAGGCATTTAAATGTTGACTTTTCTTGCAAGGATGACACAGCATATGTTGAGCATACGTTGAACTGTATGACACAGCATATATTATCTAATACGGAATGCTAGAAATCAAGGATCGTTTTCGCTATGTACCCTTATTAAATCATATATAAAGCTTACATAACTGACGCCCCAGTAAAATTCAACTTTATTATTTTATAATTTTAAATTATTAAGTCGTGAAAATATTATATTTGAGAGTGATATTTATTAATTTCTAATTCTATAAATCCACGTATTCTGTAATGGAATATCTCCGCTCTAGATTTGATGGATGACGGGTATAATTTTATCTTTTTTAATTAACACAAGAATAATATTTTTAGCTTGTCTCTTACTGATTTTGCTACTTCTAGCTTGATTAGTGTGAGGGTTGTACGAGATCCTTTGCTAATTAATATAAGGAAATAGATGTTACCGTTGGGATAGGCTGACTTTGACCAATAAAATGCTAAGTACTTGTATATGGCCCTATGGGAAAAATATGTATCGTAAACCTAAAAATTTAAAAATGGATGTGTCTGATATTTGTTTACATCACCATTAGTAAAGTTTTACTCAAGATAACGTGGATAATTCATAAACAAGTTCATTTTTTATCCGATGATAGTTAATTTACATATTGATATTACATATGTTATGTGATTTGCAGTACTTTATTTTCACATGTACCTCCTCACGTTTTTAATTAACTTCGTTTGACAAAGAGCCTTTGTGTTAGTCAAAAGTGTACTCCAGTAGGCCCTAAATGCGATGGCGTGACTGGGTCATGGTTGCACGCTCCTGGGATTATATAGTTTCTAAGGTCCTATTTCAGCTTAAAATTATTATAATCTAGATTATTAAATCAGATTACTATAACCTGGATTATAATAAGCCAACATAAAATAAGCTAAGCTGTTAGCTGTTTAATTCTCTGTATTATTAGCTGTTAGACACCCAATAATCTAGGGCCTGTTCACTTTGATGCAAAAAAAAAACCTTACCAAAATTTTGGTAACTTGCCAAAATTTTGGCAGGATTTCTTATATAGTTACCAAAATTCGGCAGCAAACTAAATGTAGCCACTTTTTTGGCAACTTTACCAAAATTTGGTAAGGTTGAAAATGGTATAAAAATGAACAGGCCCCTAGAAAAAGCACCTTTAGAGTGGATTATTATAGTAATCTGGCTTATAGATTATAATGATTTATCATAATTAGCTATCTGTTTATTTCAGCTTACTCCTAATAATTCAGATTATCATAATCTTAAACTGAATCAAACAAGACCTTAACAAATGATAGGGGCTCGCAAGTTCGCAGCGGTCTCGGCCTTCTCCAATATTCATAGGGCTAGTGGCAGGTGTACGGTTAATGAAGATTGCATGAAGCTGATCCAGTGGTTGCGGTTAGGGGTGAAAACGGTCACAGAAATTTCTGGTCGACTAAATATCGTTTTCGTATTTGTATAAGGGGTACCGTTTTCGATCGTACCATTTTTGGCTATTTATGAATTTTGATTTTACTAATTTCTTTCTGTATCGTATTAATGTTGATACTTACCAGTTTAAATGATAAATATGATCAATTATTAGTCGATCGAGTGTCATTTACTGATTCTGACCGTTTTCACCCTAGTTGCGGTAATTAAATGCGCCATATGTTGTCACCTCTGCGTAATCTGTATCAACTTCGGAGTACTGCTCGATCGACATGGTCAAAATGAAAAACGCGGCCGGTACATGAAATTCTCGGCGTCCTGGCTCGGCTGCGTCGTGCAGAATTAGTTTTTCCACTACAAGGAGTAGACTTTTGCATTTCGGAGATACTGCTGAAAAGTAAAGTGATACATGTAAAAAGATTCTTACAATTTTTTTTTACAAAATACCTGATATGAATGCCACATGGTGATATATCTTTGATTTTCCATGACTATCAACCAATTAAATAATTAAACAGTTTTATAATACGTTTGTGTATTAGAATTTTTTACATGCATACCTGAAAAATGTTGCATTCTTACCGGCTCATCCAAAATAAGTTTGAGGCAATTTAAGATGGGTCACACGATGGGCTGCGGGGATGAGTACGGAGTACGGTTGGATACAACGCATCCCCTAACTTACGAAACTAGTGCGCACGAGGTCCTAAGGCGGTTTGGATGGTGGTTTTGGCTTATATGACACCTACGTGGCTAGTTAGAGTAGATCTTCATCCCACGTGGCGCTTGCATGGCATTATAGGCAGAATTTTTTAATAAATAAACAAGGGGATCCATATATTAGTCATAAGGGAAAAAAAGATAGCCCCACATGTCAGCGGGTTGTCGGTTAAAAAAAATATGTGGACCCACATGTCACCAACTCTCTTCTCTATATTCCTCTTCTCTATCCCCCATCTTATCTCCCTCTAAAGGACGGGAGGTCGTAGACTGGTCGACGGACCTCTGTCTCAGCCTCTCGGAGCTCCGGAGGTCGACAGGCCAGCGATGGACGAGCTCCGGAGCTTGACGAGGTGGTAGTGGGGCACAGAGCTTGAGCAGCGGTTCCGGTGAAGGGTGGCGGCCGGCCCTTTCCTCTTCCCCACGTCCCTGCTGTCGGCTGGCCGACGCCCAAATCTTGCAGCTGGTCGGACGCTATCATTTGTCAGTAAGGAAGGAGGCAGATATCGACCGCCTCCTTCGAGGAGGCCCGCTACTGTAGTTGTTTGTCAGCGAGGAATGTGGCAGAGGCCGCCTGTCTCCCCTCTGGGACATCCTCCATGCGCTCTACCGAAAGCTACCACACGTGTTGGGCCCTCAGTGGCTGCTGTTGGGTCATCTCGCTGACAACGATGTTGAGGTCGAGCGCACACACCACCGTCCCAGCCCGGTGGACCTGACGGCCCTGTCGACCTCTGTCCAGTGAGGAAGAGGTGGAATGGCAAGGATTGCTTCCTTCCCCATCCTCTCACGCGTCCTCGCCCATGCCACGATTTTTCACACACCACCAGTGTCATTCCTGTGTGAACGAGCGAGCGATGGTGGCAGCAGGTGTGGAGCTTGAAGTCGACGTCGTCGCCTGGGGTGAGGAGAACTGGAGAAGCTAACCGCCACCATTCGGGCATGTCAGGAGTGTGGAGGAGCAGTAGAGGGAACGGTGAGGAAGAGATTAGAGAGGGGGAAAGAGGAGGAAGAAGACCAAGAGTATGCAAGAGAGAGGAAAGAAAGAAGAGGGGAGGTGTGAGGATGACACGTGGGGCTCACATGGGCCCCACCATTTTTAAAATTGTTTTGTGGTGTAACTGACACGTGGGCCCTATAGTTTTTATTATTTTTCTAGACTAAATTGTCACGTCAACGCCACGTGGGATAAAGACCCAGTCAAACAAGTTACGTAGGCACCACGTTAGCCAAAACCATCATCCAAACCGTCCTAAGACCTCGTGCGCTTTAGTTTTATAAGTTAAGGGATGCATTGCATCCGGTTTTTGTGGTTCAGGGTGTTTTTGAAAACTCGACGACAAGATAAGGGACGTAAAGTGTACTTTTGCATAGTTAAATGCCCATCGCAGCTTATAATTCTACAACGAGTGGGCTGGCCCACATTGAGCCCAACCGGTGCCACCATCGACGACCTCCGCCTCTCGCCCAGCCGCCCTCATCGCTTTCCGGTCGCCGTCGCTCCGAAACCCCATGAACCTTTCCCCCCCTCCCTTCGCGCCGCCGCCACCCCTATCCGCGCCATCACCGGGAGTGAGAAAGGCGACAGCTGCAGCAGGAGCAGACCGCGCGAGAGAGCGAGAGGGAGGAAGGTATGGGAAGCGGCAGGAAGCGAGGGCGCACTGTCAGGAGCCGGCCAGATGAAAGGTCCTGAACGCAGCGCCGCCACTTCAAGCAGGGGCGCGAGAACATCTTGAAGCACAAACCCCAGCGCCCTCCTGTGGCGAAGGAGCCGAAGGAAGCGGTGATGGGTGCAGGGGAACCCCTCGTGGTAGCCCTTCACCACCGAGAACCCGGCTTGGAGGACTACTTACAAGGTGCGGCCGCTTGCTTCAGATCATGCGTTGCTTACGCATTTTAACATTTTTGGCGTGTTTTGGTTTGATTATAGCCTTATTGGCTTATACCAGTAGCTTTTATAGTGTAGAATGGAGGTGTGCTAGCTCACGTCCTCTCAATGTGTTAGTTTTATATTCTGTTTTAGAATGTGATAATTTGTTGACTGCGGTTATTATTATTGAAGTCACAACTCTATTTCGATTCTTATACTGAGTAGTGAGCATTGATCTCTAGATTTACCTTATGGTAATAGAAGCCTAAAGCTGGGACGCACTGAATCGATTTACGGGTGGGGGCATTCGGCGGTTGACAGAGTAAACAGGGCAGCGGCACAGCAGGGTAGCTTAGACAGCTTGGACAAGGCAGAGTTTGGTGTGGTGAAGTGGTTTAGATGACTACGGGAACGGGCTGGCAGAAGCAGAACCTGGGGAAAATCCCTGGAAAAGCTGGAATTGGAAGGTAGCTACTGAAAGTCTGAAATTTATACCTACTTCTCGGTCCTGTTCGTAGAATTCAGATTTCAGAAGCTGGGAGAGTGGGAGGTTGATACCGATGGGCCAGTGTGCCACTGTGCGCGATGTGCACTAGCTGTATGATATGCGTGCGTCCTTGTTGTGCTGGACCGATAAACACACAAAGTGTAGTGCAATGTCACCAATTGTGAGCAAGCCAGGCATGCTTGTATGTAAGGAATGCTGAAAAAAGCACTCATGGACTAGCTGTACATGCAGTATGCATGTTTCTATGACCACTAAGATGTGATTTGAAATATAGTGATAACCAATAATCAATGACAATTCTTCTCGACACTAACACCAAGATTGTTGAGGGTATTCCTTGAGCAGCCGCCAACATTACTTTGTTGTCCTACATACAATGCAAGTAATTTTGCCAACAATATGATATTGCATATTTACTGTAATAAGATCTGTGATATGATTATTTTAAGTAGATAATACTGACATTGCCCACCAAGATTTTGAAAAAAAAAGTATAGCTACTACCTCCCTGAATCTAGCTCCATGACACCTTTTCTCTCTATGCTGAAATTTCCTGTACTGGTATACCTTGAGCTGACCATGGACGATTCTCCAAGCAAACTCTCCAACTCTTCTGAATTCTGTTCTGCCCATGGATGTTGCATAACCTTTCTCAGCCTGTCAAGATTATCTGCAATGTGCTTCATTGATGGCCTATTCACACCAGACATCTCCAAGCATTGTGCTGCCAACTCTGCAATCTCTTCGAGAAATGGCATATTCTCACTATTCTTGATCTGGTCATCTAATATATCTGCAAGCTTGTTATTCTTCATTGCATTGAGAAACCTCATCGATAGGCTTTTCTCATGTTCAGGTGCATTGAGGTTGAACGCTTTCTGGCATGTGAGAAGCTCTACGAGAACAACTCCGAAGCTATATACGTCACTCTTATCTGTTAATTGACACAACTGCATGTACTCTGGGTCAAGATATCCACAAGTTCCTTGAACCAGTGTGACAAACTGTGACTCATCTGTTGGTGCTAGAATGGAAGCACCAAAATCTGAAACCTTTGCTATCAGGTTTCTATCAAGGAGGATGTTGGATGATTTGATGTCACCATGAAGGATTGGTGGTGAAGCACATGAATGGAGATAAGTAAGTGCCTCAGCTGACTCATGGGCAATCTGAAGACGAGTGGCCAGGGAGATCTGCTGACCATGGTTACCATGGATGAGATCGAAAAGCGTGCCGTTCGGGATGAACTCGTATACTAGCATAGGGACCTCTACTTCAAGACAACAACCTAATAGTTTGACAATATTTTTGTGGTTGATTTGAGATAAAATTAGCATTTCTTTACCAAATTCTTTCTTCTGATGCTCATTGATTGTCATGCATCTTTTGACAGCTACTTCCATGTTGCCCTTCAGAAGCCCCTTGTAAACAGTTCCATGGCCTCCTTGCCCAAGAATCTGTTGTTCATTGAACCTATTTGTTGCTTCCTGTAATTCTTCATGTGAGAAGATTTTGAATGCAACACCTTATTGCGATTTCATCTCTTCAAATAACAGCAGACCACCATGCTGTCGGAAGTAATGTTGTTTGATGAGCTGTTGCTTTCTTCTCTCTTTGATCAAGTAAGCACACATTATGGTAATCACCAGGACAACAGATATGATACTTGCGCCTGCACGTTGTTGGAAAATGATATGGATGAAATTCCATCACCTAGCCAGCAATTACATTTTTTTTTCTATGGACCAATACTGAGCAGATTTAAGGCTATCCCTGCAATGTCGCAATGAAGAAAGGTGCTAGAGTTGTGTCTTGTTGGCCAACGCGACTACACAAAATTTGGCCAAACAAGTTTTTTTTTTAATTATTACTTATTTCAGAAAAGCTCTGGTGTTGTTTAGAGGGAGAAGTGTTGGATTGTCATATTGTATGGTATGACTACACACTACGCAGTATTTAAACTGGTGATCCATAGACATGGTAGTAGTTCTTACAGAATATAGGAGCTCACCTACTACCACAGGCACTGAGTCAAAACGTAGTTTCTTCTTTGGCATACAATCTCCATTCATCATATAACTTCCTGGGGAGCATGAGCAGGTGAAATTCCCCAACGTGTTGGTGCATATCCCCTTGCAAGGGTAAGTAGCATTGTTGAGGCACTCATCAATATCTGAAATCGAACCACCACATTGGGTCAGAATTGTCACATTACATACAAGTGTACATAAGCAGCAGACACAAAATTAAAGGTGCAACACAGTACCTTTGCAACCATCCTTTATGTACGGGTTGCCTTCATATCCATTGGAGCACTTGCAGCGGTAACCTTGTGCATTCGTCAGGTTGTCAATGCACTGACTGTTGTTACTAATACATGCGTAGGAAGTCTTGTTTCTTCTAGATTCTGTACATGTTTTTGATGTTATGGCCCAGTCGTAGACAACCGGAACTCCCCCCTTGTACGTGTCATAAAATACGCTGGATGTGAGGTAACTTGTGCTAAAGTTGAATGCTGCGGTTTCCATCACTGCCATGTAGCTGCAAGGGCTGCTCATCCATATTTTAGTGGTGTTGTAGCCTTCGTTGAAATAACCCTGGTAGTACTGTATGCTCTTAGGAACATTTGCCTGGCAGCAGCCAGCGCCAGAGCATGAACCATTCTTGGGAGTTAGTTTGTTCACTTTGTTGTCGCATGCTGACGAACACCCGATTACATACTGCATTTGTTACATATGGATGCAGAAAGCTATTTAGTTGAAGATCAAAAGCAACGAATATTCAATGAAATTTGTACAATTCTTTACACCTTGCGCTTTTAATTCCTTAGACCTTGCCCTTTTTTACAGTTCTTTTTTATTCTTGTAATTGTAACTTTTACTTCTATATTCAATAAAATTGGCACATCTTTACCAGTTCGTTAAAAAAAAGCAACAAATATTTTTTTTCATGATTAACAAATTACTCTCTCTGTTCCTGTTACATATTCTAAGTTGTTTTAGTTTTATATTCAAAGTCAAAATTTTCTAACTTTAAACATAAGAAAAGTGCACCACATCTACAACATCAATTTAGTTTTTATTAAATCCATAAAAAATATGTCTTAATAGTGTATTTATTTGGTATATATTATAAATATATTTTTCTATAAACTTATATCAAAGTTTGTAAATTTTATCCCACCCAACCTAATAGCTAATAGTTGACTGTAGAAGACAACAACAATGGCAATTGATGCAATAACCGCACATTATTGAAATGCATGTGAAAAACCGGATCGTTCTTAATTTTTACTTTTCCTCTTATTATAAATATTTGACATTTAGCTAAGATGAGATCTGATCAGACCTTCGAAACTTTGATTATCAATAATTTCTCAAATGTTTAATTTTACTAGAAAAAATACACGTGTGTTGCAACGGGTGAAGGTTATTTTAATCTTATTATTGTTATACGGTTTAGTTAAGATAAAATTCACTATGGGAATTCGCGTGAATATATAGCTTTTTATGAAACCATGAACTGCAATTAAGAGTCCAATCATCTCAAAATAACATACGAGTTTTTTTAAAGAGATTTCTTATACGACTCCTTATGTATTTCCAAAAGTAAACGAACTTAAAAACTGACTCAAATACAAATATATATTTCCAAAAGCGAATAAACTTAAAAACCGACTCATACACGGATGACGTACAAAAGTACCGACAAAAACATCTTCAATTTTTATAATAGTAGAGAAGAGAAAAAGAAATAATATATGTAGATTTTCCTTGAAAAGTTCTAATAATATTAAATATGGAGTATCATAAACTTACATATGTTATAAATTTATTTAATATCATGCTTCACGCACTTAGGTGTAGTATTCGACTGCAACTAGGGACACAACTAGCGTGTTTGAATCTCCTGAAGATGAAGATAAAGATTAAGATTAAGTGTTTAACGCAAAATCAGGTGGTAATAACGTGTGATTAATTGAGTTTTAATTATTACAAACTTGAAAAATAGATTAATCTTATATTTTTAGAACAACTTTCATATAGAAAATTTTCACACAAAACGCACCGTTTAGCAATTTGAAAAACATGCCACGAGTATCCAAAAGTTTATCCAACTTTTATTGGAGAAAAGAACATAAGCAAATGGGATAATAATATCTATTCCCAATCAATCTATGGACGCAGGGACGGACCAACAAAACACCGTAATATTTCAACTCTAATCTTAGACCAAGATGACATGGGCCTGCTTTGGGAGCTTAAGATTCTGAGAAGCAGCTGGTTGGTAGCAAGCTGGCTTCTAGTTCATTTTATAGATTCTACAACTACAGCTTCTCAAAATCTGGACCAAAAGCTGGACTGTTTGGGGGGAGCTTCTGATTCTAGGAGAAGCTGCAACAGCTAGAAACTCCCCCAAACATGCCCATAAGCTGGTCCAGGTCTTATGAGAAACCTTGGTCCACCCCTTATGGACATCTATAAATCTCTATCTCTACTATTATAAAAATTGAAAATATTTTTGTTGACATTTTGGTGCATTGTTCGTATTTGAGTCAGTTTTTAAGAGCATCACCAACAGATTATCTATAATCTTCCCTCCAAAAATTGTTTTTGGGTTTCCTAAACTGAAAATAGGAAGTGAAAAAACTCCTCCCTCTAACAGATAGCCTAAATTAAATCCCTAAAACTTAAAATGGACCCTTTTGTTAAACTACTAACAAAAAATTCTATTTTTTCTTCCATCGCAAAAAGATCGCTATCTCCCACACGCGGGAACGGGAGGAGAGATGCGGGAGTGCGAGATTGGGAGCGACTTTTGCGAGAACACGCATCCGCATATAAACGGAGCGAGGAATCGGGAGAAGAGAACTCCAAAACTTGGGTAGGTGAGTAGGGGATCTGTTGGAGCTATTTTTTTTATTAAAATCCCTCCAAATCAGTTTTGAAAATCAGATAGATAGACTGTTGGTGATGCTCTAAGTTCATTCACTTTTAAAAGTACATAAAGAGTCGTATAAAAATCTTTTTAAAAAACTCGCATATTAACTTGGGACGAGAGTTGGACTTCTAATTGCTTTAGAATTCTTGCTAAAGCATAAAAAATAGCAACGTAGGATATAGCCATCATTCTAATAAAAGTTCCAAATTAGATATCAATACTATCAAAATAAAAATCCCATATATTGTTTAAAAAAATCTAACAATAATATGATTAAAATAGTTTTCACCCGTTGCAACACACGGGTATTTTTTTTCTAGTTTCTAAAAAAGTAAAATAAAAATAAGGGTGACTCATTTTTACAACTTTGTG